AAAGTTGTAACTCAATAAATTGACCAATCACAGTCGAGTATTCTTTTAATGCTTGAATGTGATTGGTCAATTCCTTAAGGTACTGCTTTAATCCGTTAATCCTACTGCCATTGTAGATGACGTGTTAAGCGTCTTCTACAATGAGATTTTAAGGCGTAAGACTTAAAAAATTGACCATTCACAATCGAATATTCTCCTAATACTAGACCGTGATTAGTAAATATCTTAAAACTTACACCTTAAAATCTTATTATAGACGCTACATTAAGCGTCGTCTACAATAAAATTTTAAGGAAATTTCAGGCGTAAGATTTAAGAAATTGACCAATTATAGTCAAGTGTAAAGAGAATATTCGATTGTGATTGGTCAATTTCTTAAGTCTTACGCCTTAAGTCTCCTGAAAATCTCAGTGTAGACGACGCTTCAAAAGTCGTCTACAACGGTCGTAGCATAAGGTTGTAAGGCGTAAACCTCAGGAAATTGACCAATCACAGTCAAGTATGGACGTGTTCCGAACATTGAATAAAGAATACCAGGAAGGAGCATATGACCGAAAATCCTTTGTTTGCCGTGCGGAGGATGTGACGTAATGAAAGTGAACCAAATATCGATAAAATCGAATTTATAACGTCATTGTAGTTGAATTCAATAGGCATCACGTGTGTAACTGTGAAGCTTGAATAGACTGAATTAAATAAAAAAAATAAAAAATGGTCAGTTGTTGCCTTTGTGGATATTCTAAAACAAAAGGACGCATAGAAATATTTCATACGTAAGTGGTATAATATATTCTATTTAAAATAATAGAGTCAAAATAAAAGTATTACAACTTGTAGGTTAATTTTATTGTATTTTATATCTAACAATACTCATATTTAGTAAAGTATTTATTTTGCAACTAGTGGAAGTTTTTGAAATTGAAGCTGGATTATTCTTTTAGATTTAGAGCAATAATCTAATTTTACACAGATAATTTTGAACAGTAAACATTCTTGCAGATGTGGGCAATGTAATATATTATATTATTGTGATGTAATGTCATATTGCATGCAAAATATATATATAATTTTATGTAAATTATTAACGATTTAACCATAATTATTTTTTAATATAGTTTTCTACAACATCCATTACAAAGACAAAAATGGATTAATTTTATAAGTAGGTCAAACTGGCAGCCATTAAAAAACAGCAGATTATGTTCTAAGCATTTTACATCTGACTGTTTTGATAGAACAGGAAAAATTACTCGATTAAAGAATATGGCTGTCCCTACCATTAAATCCGCAAATACCCAACGTGTATGTATAACCATATATACACCGTGGTCCATTTTAATCGACGCACCTGAATATCTCCGTTGGTAAGCCGAATACAAAAAAATTGTTCAGACAAAAGTTGTATGATTTCAAGGGGGACATAAGATGGTGTCATTAGTTTGATCTTGAAGAGCCACCTGAAGATCACGTGAAGGTCAGCTCCAACTTTTTACATGGGACACCCTATATGCTTTCGCATATTCTTGTAGCTCATCTGAAGAGCTTTCCAAAACACTATAATTAAGTTAGTTTTCGTTAAATACTTTCCAAGTTATGAAGCTTGAAATCATTTTTTAATTTTACATAAACCGTAAAATATCTTGTAAAATATTCATTTTTCGATTAGCTTACCTTAATATTTTTATGTACAAAATAATGAGAGGAATCAATTGGTGTAAAGAAAATATACAGTTGTTTTTAAAAAAAAATATGGAATTATTAATTGCAAATTATATTTATAGGGTGTCCTATTTAAAAAGTTGGAGCTGACCTTCACGTGACCTTCAGGTGGCTCTTCAAGATCAAACTAATGACACCATCATAAGATGTCCTCCTTGAAACCATACAACTTTTGTCTGAACAATTTTTTTGTATTCGGCTTACCAACGGAGATATTCAGGTGCGTCGATTAAAATGGGCCACGGTGTATATTATATTTTAATCCTAATTAGTAGTAAAATAAATAATATTCGTTGTTATTATATAATAATAATTCATTAATGGATATGGGTTATTTTTTAGGTACTATTAGAGCAAATATCATCAAATCACAATAACCAAAAAGTAGCACAAGAAGCACATTCAGAGCTTTTTATTAAAATTTTTACACCACAAATAAGTTGATATGTCTAATAATATTCAATTTTAATGCTATTTATTTTTTATTTAAATTTATCTTAAATTAAGAATTGCATTTAGAAGTAAATAATAACTTTTAATAGTTTTAATTAATGACACTTAATTTGTTAAGAAATTAGTAAGCATATCGAATTTTTAAATTAATACTTTTCTGTATAATATTGGAGTAAATTATTGTTATATTTATATTGTTATATTAAATATATATAAAATTGTATATAAAATATCTAAAAACATAAATTACTAAAAATAACTAACAAATATTAATATTATTTAAGAAGTGAGCACTATTAATGTGGACGATAATGAAGGGCCATCAACTTCTACTCAAATGTTACCTGCACTGTAAGAAGATAACTTAATAAGTACACCTTTACAAGTGAAAGAAAGGAATGAATTTTCTTATTATCCAGCACAAGATGATACTCCAAGAAAAAGTTATCTTAAAAGGAAAATTATGGAAATGGCTACAAAAGAAAAATTATACATGAAACGTATAATACAATTACAAAAAGTGACATATCGACAGAAACATCGAATTAAAAATTTGACATCGGTTTTAGAAAAATTACAGAATAATGGTATGATTTCTCATAATGCTAAAGAAGTATTTCAAAATTATTTTGGTAGTAATAGTAACTTATTTCTTAGTTTATTTAAAAAAGCTTGTTACAAGAAAAAAAAATGCAAAGCAAAATATGAAGAGGATATTCGAAAATTTGCTATATCTCTTCATTATTTTTCACCAAGGGCGTACAAATATGTTAGAAATATTTTAAATGGTGCATTACTTCATTATAAAACTTTGTCTAAATGGTATAAAACTATTAATGGTGAACCAGGATTTACATCTGAATATTTTGAAATATTAAAAAAAAGAAATGAATATATCGAAAAGAATATTTATTGTTCTCTTGTATTTGACGAAATGAGTTTACGGCAATACGTAGAATGGATTAATGATAAAGTGTATGGTCTAGTTACTATTGGAAATAATGTTTGTGACGAAAATATTGCCAAACAAGCTCTTGTTTTCATGCTCGTGACTATTAATGAATCATGGAAACTTCCATTAGGGTACTTTTTTATTGAAAACTTAAATAGCAATAAAAAAGCCAATTTAGTCAATCATTGTTTACAATTACTGGAGGATTGCAAAGTTATTGTCATAAATATCACTTTTGACTGTTGCCCGACAAATTTAACCATGTCAAAAGTTCTTGGCTGTAAATTTGAATTTGAAAAAAAGTTAAATCAAAGTGCAAAAGAACCAGTGCTTGTTTTACAAACCAAAATAAGTTATGAGAATCCTGTCTTCATATTTCCTGACCCTTCACATATTATGAAATTGATTCGTAATGTTTTAGCAGAAAAAGGTATTTTGTATGATGATAACAATGAAGAAATTAATTTTAAATATCTAAAAAAATTAAATGAATTACAAGACAATGAAGGGTTACATTTATGTAATAAAATTAATAAACGTCATATAGAGTTCTTTAAACAAAAAATGAAAGTCAAACTAGCTACACAATTATTAAGTAAGTCTGTAGCTGAAGCTTTAATGTTTTGTTCTGAACATTTAAAATTAGAGGATTTTAAAGATTGTGGTCCTACAGTCAAATTTATTCTTATGATGAATGATGCATTTGATGTATTAAATTCTAGAAAAATATCAGATTTTGGTTTCAAACAAGCACTGTGTAAGAAAAATATTGAAAAAGTAGAACAATTTTTTGAAAAGTTATTCAGTTGTATAACAAAATTGAAAAATTATGATGGAAGTTTAATTTTTGTTACGGCAATGGTAACTGTTTAGCGAATCATAAGTGCCTATTTTTGTTTATGGTTGTAAACAAAAGGAGAAAATGTAATCGAGTCTTATAACTGAAACACATACAGATAAAATACACATGGTTTCTTCTCATACAAGGTAATAAAATAAAATCATGCAGTATATCGAAATTATTGTACTTATATTTTAGTTCTTTGGCTTGAGCTATTTACTAATAATAATTAGACAATAAGAAAAGGAAAGAAGGAATATAAACTTACATATAATAATATTCAATTTATACTGTTAAGAGTTAGTTAACTCAAATGACGAACAATGTTATATAACTATTTATTAGGTAAAGATAATAAATAATGAATATTTATCGTTGAAACGTGACTCTAGTTGTCGATGTCTTTGTCTCAAAACCTACTCACTAACAGCCAATCTAAGAAACAATCATTATTCAGATTTCTTATTAACTTATGAGTTACCTGGTTTAATTCGAGTTACATATAATAAATGGAAGATAGATAATCCAACTTATAAGAGATCAATTAAGTGAGATTGAGTGTGTTGTTTAGTCCAGTCGTCTTAGCATGCAGAAAGATGGCCGATTAGTCGAGCTCTCCCTTGACTTTCTTTCTTGATTGTCCCTTCGAACAGAACTTGCTGATATTGATGATCGGCCTTAATAATCCAGTGCTGGATTGATAACCGATCAAGAGATTCGAAGAATCTCACCTTTGGGAAAAATCGTATTGCACAAAATTGCACCCACGAGAACCGTGATAAGTCACGTCTTATCAGAACGACAAACAAAAGCCAGCTCGCGCCCCACGACACAGCCCGAGGAGGCCCCAGCCACCAGAAGGCCCTCTCTGCTCCCTCCTTCACCAGTCTAAGAGAGTGGTGTTGTGCGTGTGTGTCGCGCGGTGGCGTCCCGGATGGAAAATCCGATCGTTTGATCGACGCGCTCTCTATCTTAATGGGCTGATCTCGTAACATTCCCCGCCTGCCTTCGTTGACCGGGGTCAAAGAATATTCCTCATGAATCTGTTCGTTCGATAGGTAATGGGCACAGCTTTACGATAGGACGTTTGAGAACAGATGCCTGAGTGCGAACTGTAACAACTCTGACATGCCCATCTGCGCCAGGATGAACGTCTATAACTCGGCCGAGAGGCCACTTAGCTGGCGGATACCGTTCATCCACAACCAGAACAAGTGAATCTTTTTTCAGAGATGGTACTGGCTTGTTCCATTTAGATACATCATGAAATCTTTGGAGACATTCCTGCGACCAACGTGACCAGAACGTGTCCAACATTTGTTTAAGTAACTGCCATCTTGACAACCTAGAACAGTTAACATTGTTTAGCATAGGTTCAGGTATAATTGTGGGAGCACCTCCCACCAAAAAATGGCCTGGTGTCAAAGCTGAAAGATCCTCAGGATCATCTGAAAGCGGACTCAAGGGTCTCGAATTGAGAACTGCCTCGATTTGTGATAGCAACGTAGTCATCTCTTCGTACGTGAGTAACTGATTGCCCACAATGCGTTTGAGATGATGTTTAACTGATTTGACTGTCGCCTCCCATTTTCCTCCAAAATGGGGAGCGCTTGGTGGATTAAAAATCCATTGTGTGCCATCATTTGCGAGTAAGGTCGATAACTTGTCTGACTCTTTCGAAGAGGCCGTAAATAAGTTTCGTAGCTCTTTGTCAGCGCCCATCAGATTGGTGCCGCAATCACTGGAGAGTGTTGCACATATACCGCGTCTAACTGCGAAACGTTTATACGCCGCAATGAAGGCGTCTGAAGAATAATCTGTCACTAATTCAACTAATTCAAGGTGAGAAGCAGAGGTTGAGTAGCACACAAATACGGCTATATAGGCTTTGTACTGTCGTGCATTTTTTCCTTTCCAAGTCTTGATAGAAAATGGGCCTGCATAGTCAACACCAGAATTGAAGAATGGACGTATGGTAGGATTGACTCTTTTTTCTGGAAGTTGGCCCATAATCTGCTGTGCTCGTTTTTGCCTGTACCTTGTGCAGATAATGCATTTAAGGATGAAAGACTTTACTGGAATCCGACCTCCTACTATCCAATAATTTTGTCGTAGATGTGTCAAAGTAATTTGCGTCCCTCCATGTAGGGTTTTCAAATGTGCATCTGAGATAATTAAAACAGTAAAGAGAGACTGTTTGGGTAATATTAGTAAGTGCTTAGAATCTTCAGGTAAACTTGAATGTTGAAGACGTCCCCCTGTTCGTAGAAGGTCATTTGCATCTAAAAAGGGTGTAAGACGAATCAATGGACTGGACTTGGGTAAAGTAGCGCCTCCTGAGAGAACGCTAATTTCCTGTTTGAAGTATATTTGTTGAATATGTTTAATCCAAAACATCCTTGCTTTGTCAATCTCACAAACAGTTAATGGATTTGTCAGTGAAATTGACTGTCTAAATCGCTCTGCGGCTCTCATACACATAGCTGTTATGCGTAGCAACTTCTTGAGATCTGAATATCGTGCCAATAAATCCCACGGATGTGAAATCTGACCTGATGTTACTGTGGTAATTTGAGCTGGACGCTCTTCTAAATTGTCTGATGTCGAAACGGTGTCAGAATCAACAGGCCAAGTGTCGGGGGATTGAGACAGCCACGTGGGTCCTTCCCACAGCATGTGAATTTGTTCAGCTGTGACGGAGACACTCCTCTCGTAGCAATATCGGCTGGGTTCTCTTTTCCAGATACAAATCTCCACCTTGCTTGTGGTAGAGTTTCTTGGATATAGACTACTCTGTTGTGAACGAAATCTTTCCATTTTGATGCAGATCCATTTATCCACGTTAACGTTACTGAAGAATCCGTCCAGAGAAATACTGAGACTCCTTTGAGATCTAAAACTGATAGAATATGAGAGACTAATTTAGTGAGTAATACTGCACCAGATAATTCTAATCTTGGTATGGTCAGTCTCTTTAATGGTGCGACTTTAGTTTTTGATACAATCAACATGGCAGTGGATTTTGTTTCTGCATTAGTTGTTCGGAGATAAACCGAAGCCGCAAATGCCTGCTGAGAAGCATCGCAGAAGCCATGAATCTGGATCTGCTGCTCTGGCTTACTTCCAATCCATCGTGGAATATGAATGAGATTAATGTCTGATAATTCGCTTAAAAATGTCTCCCATTTGTCGGCAAACTGCGTTGGTAACGGATCATCCCAGTCTAACCTTTGAGTCCATAATTCTTGTATAAGAATTTTAGCCTTGATAATGATAGGTGATAATAATCCGAATGGGTCGAATAACTTTGCTATAAGAGACAATACAGCTCGTTTAGTAATGGAATGACTTGTTGGAGGGTTGAGGATAAAATGAAACATATCAGATTGTGGATGCCAATTTAATCCAAGAACTTGAACACAAGAGGTTCGATCGATGAACTTGGATGATCCATCATCTCGTATACCTCGTGGTAGTGAATCAAGTATTGAATCCAGATTACTTGTCCATTTCTGCAATTGAAATCCGCCTGCCAAGCATAGCTGATTTAATTGTACGACTTGTGCTTTCACTGCTTCAATTGACTCTGCTCCTCCAAAAACGTCGTCCACATATTTGCCCTTAGTGAGACAAGGAATGGCGAGAGGATAATTCATTTTCTCATCTTCCACCAGTTGTAGGATTGTACGGAGTGCTAAGTATGGAGCGCACGCCAGGCCGTACGTTACCGTTGTCAATTTGTATGTATCAACATGATCTTCAGACGTTGACCATAATACTCGCTGGTATTTCCAGTCCTTTGGATGGATATTGATCTGACGATACATCTTTTCGATATCTGCCGAGAAAACATATCGAAACTGTCTAAACCAGATAAGTACATCTAGTAATTCGAGTTGCAATTTAGGACCGGTGTGGAGAATGTCATTGAGCGAAAGTCTTGAAGTTGTACGGCTAGATCCATTAAAGACAACTCTAAGCTTAGTAGTCTCGTACTGTTTTCTTTCCATACGCCGTGATGAGGTAAGTAAAAGTTGGGTTGAGGTTCAGGTTGAATATCGTCTATCAACCTCATGTGATGTAGATCTTTATATTCAGTCATGAATTTTGAATAAGCTTGAGCATAAATTGTATCTGAGTTAAATTTATTCCATAGAGATATCAACATACGTGCTGCTTTGTGTCGTGAATTACCTAACTCTTTAGCAGACCTCTTAAACGGTAAGCTTACCACGTAACGACCTTGTGGGTCTCTTGAGTGTGTGTCTTGAAAGTGTTTCTCGCAGGCTTGCTCTTCCGGGGATAGGGAGGAACTCTTGTTAATACATACCTCCTGTTGTTCCCAAAACTTACGGAGAACATCAAACAATTGTTGATCCATAGAGGCATGGTAACTATTGGTCAATAGTGATGTTCGATTCGCCGAGGTCGGGCCAGAGATAATCCACCCAAAGGCAGTAAGCTGTGCGATAGGAGAGTCAATAGGTCCTTTCTTTAACCCCTCACGGATGATCTGGTGGTATACATCAGCTCCAATTATCATATCAACAGCTAATGGTTGTAGAAAGTGAGGATCTGCCAGAGTTAATCCAATAAGATGTTGCCATTGATGCATATCAATTGACACTGAAGGAATTGAGTTGGTTAGCTTGGGTAGAATATGGGCGGATACTTCAAGTGTTTCCGAGTTCTCATAAATAGCAACAATCCTGAACGATGTGACGCCACGGGTCTTACAAGACGAGTGTCCTCCAACTCCTACCAAGGGAATCCATGAATGTGACCTAGAAAGCTTTAAATTCTGGGCTACTCTTTCGGTTATTAACGTAATTTCCGAGCCTTGATCAATCAATGCTCTGATCTGTAAGGTACTTCCTTTCTGGTTGATGATGACAACCTGAGCTGTTGCTAGCAACACACATGAGGTAGCATGAGTTGAATTAATATTCAAATGTAAGACCTGAGAAGAACTAGATTTTGTTACAGTCTCCTGTGGTGTGGTCGCTTTTGTTGAGTCAACCTGTTTATCTAAACTGGGTTGTTTATGAATAGTGGTATGATGTTTTCGACCACACTTTGCACCGTTTAGTTGAATGACAGTCTGACACTCGATGAGCTCCCAAACAGTTGTAACAGCGCCCGTGCTTTGTGAGGATTGAGTAGCGTTGTTGAGTGGTCTTTGATATATACTGTGGACATTTAGCGAGATAGTGCTTGGAAGAACATATAATACACGAAGAAGAAGATGTGTCACCGATGTCTGAATTTTTAGCTTGAAAATGTGATTTAAAGGTGTTTTGTTGCGCTTTCGTTGTAACCTTGATACCGTGAGATTTTTCAAATGCTTGCAAGGAGAGTAATCGTGTGACTAAAAATTCACAAAACTGTTTCCACGTAGGCTGTTCCTTGGCAGAGCCTAGATGTTGTTCCCACGCCTTAACAGAGTCAGAGTCTAGGCGTTGCACTGCTAAAAATACAAGGAAATCATCCCATTTGTCCACAGGTCGTTGTAACGTCTCTAACGTTCGGAAGATTTGCATGAGATTGGTATATAAGTATTCAAGATCCGTTGCTGATTCCCTTGTCATTCTTCTCAACGATAGTAATGCTTGTATGGCAGCGTTGACTAAGAGGCGTTTGTTTTCATAGAAGGAGATAAGATCGTCCCAGGCCTTTTGAAAGTTGTCTGCTGTTAATGACGTATTCTTCAGTAAATGAGAGGCAGTTCCTGTCAAGCTGGCCTTTAGATATTGCAGTTTTTCTACAGAACTGAGCGTAATATTTCTGATGATTGATGAGAATAAATCCTTAAACGACAGCCACTCGGATGGAGCACCGTTAAATTTAGGAAGATCGATCCGAGGTAATCTTGTGTGATGTGAGACTGATAATTGATTTGCTGTGGATTGAGACAGAGATTGAGTCGAAGACGTACCTTCTTTCAATTGTTCCTCTGAATCAAGATGAGCGTTCATTCTGTCAACACACTCTAAATAACGTTCGTAAGTCGTAGAGTGGATATTGTCAGTAAAGTAAGTATGATTTCGTATGAGTTCTTGTTATCGGTGAGTGACGTTAAACGTGCATTAATCACACGAGATGTAAGATCAATTGTTGGAATTTGAGTGAAGCTTTCTAAAGATCGAACAATGAGCGTGCTTAAAGAATGTTGCTGTTCAAGGCGACCTTGGATGTGAGAGATCCTCATTGTGACGTAGTTGAAGATTAGAAATGATAACACTTATAACTCTCCCTTAAATTGCACTGTATTCGGACTAAGGTAAAAGTCCCCATTATGAGACAATGTCCCCATTTATGATACACAACTGAAATATACGATAAATAAAAAAAAAGATCAATTAAACTTAAATATAAAAAATGTAACACATACATATTTCATCAAGTTTTTAAGGCGATTCATTAGTTTTATAATTTATTTATTAGATATTTAAAAAAAAAATTCGTAATTGCTAGATTTGTAATCTGCACTCAAAGTCACATTTAAAGTGATTGAAACATTGACTACCACTTTTTCATCTTAGCTAAAAAACATTGTTTTCGCGACTTTCATACGATTGTTATATATTAATTAAAAGCTTATGAATTGTAAATTTCTTCCGAATAAGCATTTTTATGTTATTTATGAGAAAAATATTTGATTTTCGAGTGTCTCATAATACCTACAGTTTTTTGCTTGCATGTCCGGTTTTTTGAGACACTTTATCAGGTGTATCGCACAATACGGACGTATGTTTATATACGCAGTCCCAGTTCGTTGAGACAGTGAATGTTTATAGTGATAATTATTAGTGATAAACAATAATTCATCGAAAGGCAGTGTGCACTCATAATTTAAAGCGTTATTGTTGTGCATAACTGTAAATTATTCGTTTTAAGTAAGTATATCACATTTATTGGAGTAAAATTAGAAACCTAACCTACAACTATGACAGCATGCTGATGTTACAAACTAATTTTTTACCCATTTTATTTAAATTTTTGTTATTTATTTATACAAAATTTTCCACATTTATATAACTATTAATTTGTTTTATGTTTCAGATTATAAAACAACAAAAAATTATTTAAAAATTTTTTATAATAATCATGGCAAAAAAATCAACACAATCATCAAGGAGAAAAACAAAATCAGTAAAAAAACGTGTTGACTTGTGATAATATTAATTTAAAGAAAAAGAAAAGTAAAAGAATAAATTATAATCAAGACAATATAGAGAAAGCTTTAGAAGCTATAAAAAATACGGGGATTTCTTTGAGAAAAGCTGCTGCTGCGTTTGGTGTACCTGTAGCGACGTTAGGAAGGAAAAAAAATCTCGATCCAGAGAAAACCAAAAGTAAAACCGGCCCTGGAACAATTTTATCAAACGAAGAAGAAGATAGTATTGTCAAGTGGGTTTTACATCGAGCAGAGATTGGAGCACCTGTTACTAAGAGTAAGCTGTTGGATACTGTACAGAAGTATGTAAAAACTATTGAAAAAGAGACTCCGTTTATCGATGATCGTCCTAGTCGTCATTGGTACGAAGCATTTAGAAAACGACACCCGGAGCTCTCAATTAGAAAACCGCAACAATTAAGTGCAAGTAGAGCGGCAGTTACTCAAGAAGATCTTCAAGAATGGTTTAAAAACAATAAAAAATATTTACAAAAAAAAATCTATTAAATATTCCGCCCAGCAGAATCTTTAATTGCGATGAAAGCAGTATTCAGTTATGTCCTGATGCTGAGAGTGTGCTTGCTGCGAAGGGAACTCGTGCAGTGTACAAAGTTGTTGATGGAGGTAAAGAAGCATTGACAGTATTATTCATGTACAAAGCCGATGGCATTCGTGCTCCCCCAATGCTCATGTACTCATACAAAAAAACTGTACCAAAGAAAATTATTGAAAATACTCCGAAAGGCTGGGGTATTGGTATATCTGATAATGGCTGGATGACAACTGAAACATTCTACGAGTACATTACAAATGTGTTTTATCCTTGGCTGGTGAAAGAAAATACTTAATTTCCCGTCATTCTTTACATGGATAATCACTCATCTCACCTCAATTTACCATTAGTAAATTTTTGTCGTGAAAAACAGATAGAGTTGATTATGTTACCGCCAAATTCCACTCACATCATGCAACCTCTTGATATTTCGTTCTTTCATCCATTTAAAGAAACATGGAAAAAGTGTGTGCCGAAATGGAAGTCAGCAGGGTGTTACACAAGTCACAAAAGAAAATTTTCCCCTTATTCTTCAATATAGCTTAGATAATATGCCTAATGCAGAGAAAGTAGTTCAAAGTAGTTTTCGAGGATCAGGGCTCCATCCATTCGATGCTAAAGCAGTAGATTATGATATTTTAAATAAGGGGAAAAAATCTAAACGAACTCTCGAGAATGATAACACCGAAAATTCTAATGAAGTTGTAACGGTGCACTCCGATGCACCGTTCCGAATTCCCGGCAACAACATCGCCGGAAGCTGCCGCCCGGCAGAATACCCGCCGGGCAGAGGCAGGGGCGCGGTGCGCCCACATTTTAATACTTATAAAACCGGGGCCGTTGTAAAAATCCAAAATTGGCCGAGAATTGCCGAGCGAAGCCGACGCGGCCCGACCGACCGACCGGCGAAAACCCGCGCTCGGCGCAAACCCGAATCCCTCCGAACGGGCCCGACCGTACCGTACCGCAATTAACCCGTTCGGAAGGGGTAAACCGCCGCGCGCCGACGCAGGTAATTAGCCGGTATAAAAAGGCCGTGTTTCGGCTAATACATTACATTCTCCTGTTCCGCTCTAAGCTGTACGCTCAAGAGAATTTACCAGACACCTGAAAATCGGCACTACCGCCCCGATCAAATAGGTTGAGAGTGCTCAGCCTAAGCCGAGAGTTCTCGCTATCGCGCGGGGTACTGCCTCCATCCGCTCCTCCACATCCCGGCTGGCAAAACCCACGGAAGGTGGAGTTCAGAGCCGCCCCGATCGAGAGTTCTCGAGGCCAGCTGTTCTCAAACGCGATTCCAACATTATTCGCGCGATATTTCAATTCGCGGAGACCGCATATTATTTCGCGAAAATAACTTGTTGTTTCTCGGAATCCACCGGCTCGTTCTTCGTATACGGGATTCCCGGAACGACGGGATTCTCCGTGCAAGAAACGCGACAAAAACACCGTCATAACAACGCGAGGTCTTCGACCGATACCGAGCGCATATCCGCACGCGTCAAAACAACGTTTTTATACACGCGTATTATACCAGCGAGAAATCGAGTTTACGCACCACGATTATACCAGCGCATTCAACCACCTGCATTCTGCACGCGCATTTAAACAGTTTATACAGCGAACACGCTCACATTTATACGCGCCACGCAAACCGTTATACACTCGAACACGCTCACACTCATAATCGCAGCGAGATACGCACTCTACCTGTACACACGCTTAATCAATTTGAATAAATACTTTCTTTTCTTTTACATCGCAATTCGCTCACCATTTATTACCCCGAATCCGACGAGTTTATCCGTAATTTAATCTCCGGGAAAACGGAACGTTACATTGGCGCCCGAACAGGGACCGTTTGCGTGAGCATTCGACAGGTGTAAAAGCGAGTTGTACGAATATTTCAGCATGAAGTCGTGGTTGTATGCGCTCCCGAAGGAGCAACTGGCCGTGCTAGCCGCAGGTTACGGCATAGAGAGCACGGGCACTCTCGATGAAATTCGCCGACGGATGCGGGAGTACGCGGACGCGAATCCGGATGATTTGACGACTGATCCTCATGACCATGGGGCATCTTCTTTTGCATACCCCCAGGTCATCCTATCGGCCCCGTCTCCTATCGTCCGCGACGCGCCTATCGACGGTGCAGCGCCGGCCTTGCCCGATAATCGGGTAATCAACCAGCTGCGGAAGAGCGGTTGTCACTTCGACGGCCGTGATCCCGCCGCGTTCTTGGAACGCCTGGCCGAGCTCCGCGATAACTATCAGATCACGGCGGAGCAAATTCTGCGCGGTTTATCGGAGTTGCTACGGGGGGATGCCCTTTTATGGTATCGCAACCATCGAGGCGGCTGGCTCACGTGGCAGGACTTTGAGGCCGCGTTCCGACTGCAGTTCCTGCCCCATCGTTACGTGGCTTCCTTGCGTCGCGAAATTGAGAATAAGCACCAGGGGGCCCACGAGACATTCGCGCAGTACTCCACGGTGATGATGACGCTGATGCGCCGTTTGGGCGGTTTCTCTTCGTTTGAGCAGCTCGAATACTTGTACAGCCACATGCACCCAGAGTATAAATTTTATATCCGTAGCGCGGATTTCGGTAGCATCGCCGAGCTACAGGCGCAAGCCCGCGAGCACGAGGATTTGGTGAAAGAACGGCAGGAGGCCGCGAAGAGGGAGAAGGCCGAAGTGAAGCCCGTAGTGGCCGCCGCGTATAGCAAAACCGAGTGCTGCTGGCGGTGCAAACAACGCGGGCATACCCGCCGCCAGTGCAAGCGGCCCGCGAAGAAATTCTGTTCCCAGTGCGGACGGGACGGGGTGCTCACCTCGCAGTGCCATCCCCTGGCGGGAAAAGGCGACGGGGCGGGAGGAACACAGGTCGACGCCACTCCCAGCCCCGCATAAGTTTTACGCCGCGACCGCATATATGTATTACGATCGGGGATCTGACGTGCGACGCCCTGATCGACTCCGGGTCCGAAACATCGCTCATCAACGACGAAATCGCCGAGACCCTCGGACGACGGGGTTTCAAGGTCACCTCCGACGAGGGCCAGATCCAGCTGGCCGATGACCAGGAAGCCACCACCGCGGGGACAATCACCTTGCCGGTCGAGGTGTCGGGACGAAAGACCACACACACGTTCGCGATTATGCCGCGTCTCTCCGGTGAAGTTTTCATCGGAGTAGACCTCCAGGCCAAGTTGCGTCTGGGCACGCCGGCCCCCCCTCGGCACGTGATC